GCGATTTCTTTACTACATGTTCCTGGGTAACATCGTGTGCTGTCTGCACGCCATGAACAAGTTTCTAAACAATAAAATAAAGTAAGCATTTATAGTCGAATTGAATTGCCATTTTACATATTACTTGTTGACCTACAAACATGATCGTTGTACATTTATTAAAATACCAAAGATAAAAGGATATATAATCCTTGGTTCTTTTTAGTTTTGAGCATTCAACAAAATCGCGTTGTCGCCTCAATTATGTTTATTTCATATTTATCTTTGTAAGAATATTTTCGTAGTATGGATTGAAAATTAAACATAGCAATATTTTCATATATAAACGTCACTTACGTATACAATTCTTGAAATGTGGATCATTGTTGCCATTGGCTTCTTTATGTCTGGTATATGCTCGCCAGTACAACTTGTCTACAATTTCCCCGTCACAATACTCACAGTGGTTACTAGGGATATTAGTACAACGTCTGTGTTTACAATGAGCTATGGGTGGACAAACTAAAAGCAAACATGTTGCATATTTCAAACTACATAAATGAGGAAAAGCATATCAAATATTTCTACACACGTGTATTATCTCTTATCTGTATATTTTGTATTATCTTCATAAATAATTCTTTATTGTCATATAAGTAAAATGATACTTGTGCCATAAAACAAAAAATAACAACAACAAAAAATAACTGATTTGAACACACACATATATATATATATATATATATATACCATCTTTTCCACAGGTTTATTGTTTTCTGTTTGGTATTGAATTAATATTAAGATCCATTTTGTTAGATCTGGTGATCAATTTATTTGGCAATCGCCAATGGCAGTCAGCAGGGTTTTTAAAAGAACATCAGTTGTTCGACCTGTTAGTCAAATGCGTTTTGTTAAAATAGACTTTTTCACTTTTTTTGATCTTTTGGAAAATGTTGTTTGTGCTGTATTTAGACCCCTCTACCAAGAAATTTGTTTTACATGCACACGTATAAAAATTGCGGTTTTTATCCAACGCAATCATAGGTTTGAACGTTGTTTTCAATTTAGACTTTTATATATTTTTTCGTTTGGGCTTGTATTATATTTTCCTTCGGGTTTATATGATCCGTTCATCCTATTTCGACTCTTTAAAATTCAAGAGTCTATCCTAAATTGAGGTAAATTATATGGCCTTCCAAATACCGTTTCGATCCCTAACATCACTGAAGAGACATTAATTGTCGAAATCCGGATATGGTGTACAAATTTTTGCACCTCATGTTTGTGGTATACCATCTTTTCCACAAGTTTATTGTTTTCTGTTTGGTATTAAATTAATATTAAGATCCATTTTGTTATATCTGGTGATCAATTTATTTGGCAATCGCCAATGGCAGTCAGCAGGGTTTAAGAACATCAGTTGTTCGACCTGTTAGTCAAATGTGTTTTGTTAAAATAGACTGTATATATATATATATATATATACAAGCAAAAATAACTAAGAGTCCCCTGTCCTCAGCTCTAAAGACTGTTTCATAAAGGAACCTGTTTTTTTCACTTGGTTTATATTTGAAGGATTTAGCAGGACTACTAGTTTTTCAGTATCAGACAGATTTGGAAATATAGGATTATCTATTGCGATGTCATTAAAAAGTTGTATACGTAATAAAAGATAATGATGTTTATCGACTAGTACTGAGATTTGCAACACCGTATATATAGTCTTACAAATATGCATTTGTTTAACATTTTTTACAAATGCAATATAGATATCGATATATTTGTTGTTTGATTGATACTTAAAAGATTAATCAAATTATTGATGTTTGCTTAATGTCTAGTGGCAGTTTTTTAAAGCATATTAAGGATCACTATTGATGAATTCGACATACGGTTGCAAGTAGAATTTATGATTTACTGGTTGCTGTTTCCTTATCGTCAAGTGGCTCATATATCGTGCCTATTTTTACTGAGTTTTTTTTTATTCTTCTCATCCCCTTTTTCCAAATAAATTTATTTGTGTGTGAATAATATGTACACAAATACCTTCCTCCAAATATTGAATACGTACTTCGACAGTAAGCACCGTCAGCATAAAAACCATCGTTGCAGCCAGCACATTGTTCGGGGGTTTTACAGTATCCCCCACTGTTGCGCTCTGGACTTTTGGCACCCGGTCTGTAGATAATGACATCATTGTTATAATATTTATGGCATGCCGATGGATTGATTTTTCCGTCACAAATTGCTGTAAAGTTTCAAGTTAATGAGTAAGAACAAAAGTTATTTATCGTAGTAATCAGTTGCATAGGAACTCGGTTAGCGGATATACATTGTTAAATCATTGAAGTTTCATTTGTTTTTCGTTTCTCGCGTCGATTTGTATTAAATTCAGTATCATTGGCAATACGATTTTTATGTTTATTTACAATGTGCAGTTTAATTTCCATATCCATACACAGAAAGAATGTAAATTCGGTAACCGAATCCCTATGAACAGTTGTACATTACACAGAAATAAGGAAATGTGGTATGATTGTCAATGATACAACGTTATCAAGGGGGAACAGACATATATGTGTGCAAATACAGGTCACCCTACGGTTTTCAATAATGAACAAAACTCATACCGAAAAGTAAGCTATAAAAGCCCCTGTAAGACAAAATCTGAAACAATCGTGAAAACCAACGGCCTTATGTTTACTACAATTACAACATTAAACAACAAACAAACATGACACTCAACAAGCACTGAATTACAGGTTCCTAATTTTGGATAGAAACATAAAGAATTTGGTGGGGTCTCATATATTTGTGAGCGTGCGACACTCCCCCTTACCTTAAACTAAGTTGTTAAAACACTACATACGAAATATCCGGTAAGGGCTAGAGTCACCAGAACAAATACAGTACTGCCCTTTACTACAATATCTCCAGAAGCCCACGTTAACTAATAAATAAACCAGGTTCTCTCAGACTAAAATATCAATCAATAAACCTCCGACTGATTTAGTGTAAAGACGTAATTAGTAGTCTAAGAAAAGTTTGACTTTTTGCAATCATCGATGCATTTATCATTTACAGAGGATGTGGCACTCCAGCTTCCTCTACAAATATAAAAACTGTTGGCCACGAAATAGCCAATAGTGCTGGAAGTGGTGTAAACACAAATCAATCAATCAATCAGAAGACATTTTTTGGAGATAAAAAAAAAATGGCTAGGAATATGTTTGGCGAGTAGGGACATTCTCTCAAATTATCAAAGTTCTAGCTATAGTTGTTAGTGCTGGTTGATGTTCACGTTGGCGTGTCTTTCTGATTACTGATTTCTGATTTCTGATAATGCGTATATGAACTTAGTGTATAAGATCGTACAAGAATGTATAGTGTATGGGCGTTCTTCGGGTTCTTGGTTGGTAAATCTTCGGTTGTTCGCCATTTTAGCAGAAAAAATGTAATGTAGAAATATATATTATTATAATGTAACTTACGATATGGACAACTATATCTATTGCTTCTGTAACCGGGACAGCATGTCAGGTAAGAATAAAGTTCACTCCTGAAAGTGTATCCAGACATGTTCAGTATAAACATGTACTCTTTAATACATTTTATTGAAGAAAATTAAAAAAAAGTATTTGTATCACCAATCGCTTACATGTATTTCTATAAATGCAAGGACCTGTATAGTGTATATATGGAGCACTCAGATCGATGTCTGGTCTCTAATCGACGTTCGTTCCTCAAATCGACGTCCAATCTGACATCATTAAAGCGTAAGATTCAAATTATCGACCGATTCTATGCGGCTCTAATCAAAAGTCTTTTTTCTGTTCTCAAATCGATTTCCATTTCTCGGCTGAGACCACACGACTTTAAAAAAAATTATTTGTAACGAATAAAATATAAATTTGGATTTCATGAATTTATGATACAAGGAAATAGTTAATGATATCAATTTCAAGTAATATACTAGTATTTCATCGATATTTTGGCGTAACAAGAACTGTTCTTGAATATATTTGAAAATGAAGAGGTACTGTGTGTCTCCGCCTACCATAAAAGGATTGAAGTGCCCCTACCTAGATTGTTATATAGTCTGGGGATTTCAGTTATTTTTGCTAACTAAACTGTTTCCATGTCTCAACTAAGGAACCTCGTAGTAATGATCGTATGTCATATCTGAAAATTTTTTCGTTAGTTGAAGAATTCTGGGTAAATTGGTCCTACTTCTTTATTCAATAGTTTCAATTTAGAGCTCGACATATTGTATAAATAATTGTCTATTGTTGAAGGCTGTATGTTGTCCTCTATATATATCTTTCTGTTATCTTTGTTGTTGAGTTTCTGTCTTATTTATGTATACCCACATCTCCTTTTATTCATATGACTATGAACAATGACGAAGGAATTAGACAATGTGTATCGAGTGGATCAAAGTCTTCCACACAAATTTTTGTATGTCCATATAATGTGTTGTCCGTGTTGCCGTTTACCCATGCATGATATTCTTTGGGATCAGATGGTTCCTACTCTGTTGTTCCTTTTCGTATGTCAGCTAAATCATTATGATTTTCAATGTATATACAAAAACGATAAGTCTATTTAAGTAGTGTTATACAAAATAAAACGATCACTCCAGAGAAATATGAATTAAAATACAACCGAAAATAAATGATTTAATCATATTGAACATCGATAAGAGAAGCCTACCTCTAATCGATCGGACATCGTTCTGGTAATACATGACATCACATTGGGCTTTCATTAGAGGGTGAGAAACAGACCTTGATTGAATCGAAAATTTTACATCAGATTGGACGTCGATTTGAGGAACGGACGTCGATCTGAGTCTAACATATATATATTTGGAGAAAGTTATTAAGTTTTTCATTCATATTGTAAATTGAAAAATGCCATACTCCCTCTTCACCATTAAAACAGTTACTTGATCCCAACCTGATACACGTGTAACTTGGCTTGTTATAAGGTTTTCTGATTCAAATTTAAGACAAAAATACCTGTATCTTGTACAAGCTGACCAGCTCCAAAATCCACAATCTGTATAGAATTTCTCTCGGCGATAGGCATAATGTTTGCAGACATGACTTCTAAAATGAAATAAAATCATATATTATATATATCCTATTGTTAACATGTGAATTTCCCAACAGTTCAGATAAAATTATTTTTCAATTTTATCATTGAAATTTTCTATATATATTTCTTTAGAGAGAAAGAATTTCAAACTATAATGAAGGCGCTTAATAAAAGATTTAAAGAGATATATGTATGCAAGTCAGACCTTCATCTCAGTCGTCATTTGAGATCCCCTGGCCACACCAAGGCAGATCTCAATTGACTGACCATCACAATCATAGACCACAACACTGCTTGGTCTAGGCAGGATAGACTCACTCGGGCAAGATTTTGGATAAGAAAATTAAAAACTTTGGAACCAAATGGGATAAATGAAAGGTGTAGTTCCAATATATTAATTCCAGCAGTGGTTTTCATTTGCGTTACATATTACTACGCAGTCTGTTGCTATTCCTTTACTTTTGTCAACTCTAAAATTCTAGTATCATATCAGTTTAAATCGCAGATAGCTATTCATTTGGGATGTATAAAAATGCAGCCGCGGTGAATTACTCAACCTTTTTCAAATTAAGAATTTACAAAAAATTACCAAACTGCTATTTATTTGGCATGTGCAAATACGCAGCCTCTATTGTAATTACTTTACCTTCGTCAAATTTGAAATTTGAGTATTATATCTGCTCAAATCGGTCAATGCTATTCATTTGGAATGTATTTCTACGCAGTCTGTGCTGTAATAACTCAGCTTTTGTCATTTGAGAAATTTTGAATTCATATCGCACATTAATATTTTTAATATTAAAGGATATGGTTCCTAGCTATTTACAAGAAAACTCTCATTTTACTGATAATCAAAATCATAACTGACGTTCTAATGATAAACTATTAAAACTTCCAAAGCCAAATACGAATATTTTGAAGAAAACTTTTATATTTCTGGTTCTCAAATATGGAACAGTTTACCAATTGAAATAAAGGTGAGTAATAATACATGTACACTTGTATCTTTTAAATCAAAACGTTACATTTTTTTTCACAAAGAAAGCAGTTTAATATCCCTTTTCATTAATATCTATATGACTTGTATATTGTGTATATATCATTATAATATTATATGGACTTTATTAATATTTCATTATTATTTTTGAGAACTCTCAGGAAGATTAATTTTAACTAATGGGATTATCCTCTTGAAATAATGATTATTTATTTTATTTATATCATCACAGATGGCTGATACGACAGGATTGCCAGTGATTGTATTACGCATACAATTTACGATTATTTACTACTAAGTATATGAGAAACATGATTATAAGATACAATCTGTATACACTAGTATTTGGTATATTTTAGGACGCATACATTGCAAAACAGCTGAAATGATGGTAAAAGCCACGTACACTGCGAAAATAGTTACTATACTCTTAAACAGTCAAAGGGATATTAGCTGTACTTAATGAAATTGGTCTTTGTTGTTAACGTGAATCGTGATTTATTGTCTGTAAATATGTACCTGCAACACGTCCGTGAAGATAAAACTATAACTAATTTAAACAGGGACAGGTGTGAAGTATATAAAAATAATATATACAATTATATATACAATTGTCTGTATGTTAAGTTTGATTCATAACCAAAATCGGCAAGACCTACAACAACATTATCAATGTAACGTTTCAACTAAACAATACGCTTCGTCAAGGTGAAATTATTGAAGTCACACAAACACATGTCATTGTCTAGATAATTGCATTCTAAATGGATAATAACGTATAAGTTTGATTTCCAGGTTAGAATATGCAGTTTTCATATTCGAAAAAAGCTCGCAGAATTAAAAAAAAATATTCAGGAGAATGCCGAATTTTGCGCCTTATTATTTAATTTGACATACCATAAAGTCCGGTCAGGACATTTTCACCGATCTAGTTGAATTCATATGATTTATTACTTATAGTATACGCCAGAGATAAAGTACAGTAAGAATAGATTTACAAAACGCATTTGATAAAATGAAGACATTTAAATCTAACCATTTGATTCACCTTACGTAAAGGACATTCACTACATAAAAAATGCAGCTCTGATAATATGCCTTTGAAACCAAACTAATATTAAATGGACATTTCAAAAACTGTTCCCCTCCCCAAATAATTATAATACCGCTATCTGGATGAAACGAAAACTTTTTGATGACAATGCTGAAGGACGAATCATATTTACTCAATATAAATCATAAATTTGTGAGAATATTTAGTAAATATTTGACAAAGTTAAGACATGTGTTTAATTTTTTCAATGCTTTAAGTCGTGAAAATTAAAAATCTGAAATCAAAGATTTGTCAAATTAACTTAGTTTATAATCAATATTACTGTATAATGGTGTGAACTCCATATCAAAAGCTCTTTGAGCAAAATCGCTCTTTCTGAATAAATCTTTTTCATTGTGATACAATCTAGAAAAAAAATACTTATATAATATGTCTGTTTCCCTGCTGCAAAAGTTTTTGTTGAAGGTCGTAAATATGTCACCTTTTTTTAAAATATGCATTTAGCTAGGATAAGTGAAACTTGGAATGAAAATCGAACAAGAATGTGTCCATAGTGCACGAATGCCCCACTCGCAATATCATTTTCTATGTTCAGTTGACCGTGAAATCGGGGTCTAAACTCTAATTTGACATTGAAACTAGAAAGATCATATCAAAAGGAACATGAGTACTAAGTTTCAAGTTGATTTGACATCAACTTCATCACAAAATTACATTGATCAAAAACTTTAACCTGAAGCGATCAACAACTTTAACCTGAAGCGGGACAGTATCATTTTCTATGTTCATTGGATCGTGAATTGAGGTCAAAACTCTAATTTGGCATTAAAATTGGAAATATCATATCATAGGGAACACGTGTACTAAGTTTTAAGTTATTTGGACTTCAACTTCATCAAAAACTACTGTGACCAAAAACTTTAACCTGAAGCGGGACAGACGGACGGACGGGCGAACGGACGGACGAACAGACAGAAAAACATAATGCCCCTAAGTGGGACATAAAAAATAGTACATTTATCTCTGTTTTTTTGTTTTTGTGTGTGTATAATTGACCAATGTGTTACCCAGTTGGCAGTGGACAACGTCGAAAAACAACCTTTTGGAATGTTTTAACAACACGACGATGTTACTATAAAAAAGAATATGTGTTATGATTGCCAATGAGACAACTCTCCACCGAGATCAAATGACATAGATGATTACAACTACAATGTATAGGTCACCGTACGGGCTTCCCTAGTATATACATACACTTTTAAAATTTGACGTTTTGCGATAATTTTTAAATGATTTGAAGACAATTTCAAGAAATCTTTCGCCTATTGTATGTGCTTTCTACACAAATTTACATCTATTTAGAAATAATTCATGCAAAAATATCATAGTAAATAAAAAATGCATTATTTTATTATTCGATTTTCAGTTCCAGTTTTTTTCTTTCCGAAGCTGTATGCACAATCTTATCATGAACATATGTGATATGATCCATTTACCTTTACTTAACCTTAATCAAGTCCGTTAATTGAGTCATGCCGGTCAAATGCAAACTCGAATTGGTATGATAGTACAGGACATCGCCATACCGGGACAAAAGATACAAAAGTAGGAATTGTTAGTAGGATGTTTTGATGAAGGATGAATAACCGTTTCACAGATGATATCGGATATGTTCCTTATGTCGTTACTACAATACCCTTCCCTTTTCACGAATGTAACTAACCGAATTAGACCCCCCCCCCCCCCCCCCCCCGAAAAACAAGTTAAAAAAAGTTAGTGTTTTAGAAAAACTCATCTAGGAAAATTGTTTTTCCATAACCAAAATATTTGCTTAGTAAATGTTAATTGCTTACCCCCCTTCATGAAGAGCCATTGCATTTCCAAACATTAGCGACACAAACATTGCAAACAATATGCGATTCATAGTCATTTTCTTCCTTTCCTTCTGAATTCTAGTGAAGCATTTGAAAGTTCTTTTTCGGAGAACTGACTTTTAAGAAAGTCTTAAAATCTAGACCAATCACGAACATGCAATATTCAAAATAGCTTTAGACATAACAAGTCAAAGTTACTGTATTGATATCGATCCATTAACGAATCTATTAGATAATTTAAGAGGCTATATCTTGTTTCTGGTTTCACTTGCTTGAGTATGGTCTATGTCCATTTTTCTTTAACGTCCAGTACTAAGAATATTTTGCTCTTGCCAAAGCTTTATTTGACTTCATTAGAAAATATAAGGTTATACATAAATATCGAAATTTAGTTCGACAGTGTTTTGTCAATACATATATCTTTATTTATGCAAACTACGATCTCCAAATCTTAACAATATTTACACCAACAACTATTAAAGATAAGATAAAATTTCACTCTGAAGTTGTTTAAAGTTATTTGAAAGTTTATATCGAAAGTGGATTAAGCTTTTCATTGTTCATTATCAGCCCTACGTGTAACAACATTGTTATCTTTTGTATTGTAGTTATTTCTTGTAGAGCGAGGCCCTAAAACAGACTAACAAAGGATCTTGTAACTGGATGCAAAAATATAATATTGCTCTGCTTGTTATCATAAATCCGCATCTAGGAGACAGATTAACATAACACTGGTTGCCTGTTAATGAATGCAAATTGTTATCATATGAATATATATTAAACATGATGTATTTTTGTATCAAAGTAAAATAGTATTTACACAAATCAATATTGCCTCGCGTTGATCTAAATAATATTACTTTGAGATGTACACATTTCCTTTTGATATATTATAAACACAGACAATCGTTTACCTATTTTAACCGGATTTCGTAAAATTAAATGAAAAAAAAAAAAGAAAAGTTGAATAACATACATAAGGCAGCAGCCCAACATTGTGAAATTTATGCACTTCAAGTACTCTATAACGTTTTAACATCACTGAATTAGCTAACAGTTCTGTTTGAATTTGATTCTGTAT